CTGGTTTGTGCGCAATCAGTGCTTTCCTATTCCGTAGCTCTGGGATGGCCCACCCGGCCCAGGTGCAGAACAGTTCTGCCTCCTCCTTGTCTTCCTCTTTCCCCTCCTCTTTCTCAGAAGCTCCCAGGAATTGCTGCTTTAAAAACAGGAGCTGCGGAAACATGGCCCGGAGCCAGGTGCTTAACGTGCATTATCTCCGGCTGCAGCTGAGTCAGAACTGAACTCCCCAGAGCGCTTCCATGCCTCCTGCCCCTCTCTCTGCTGGGTGGCCTCTGACATGGGCCTCTGCACTACTACTGGGGCTTCCAAATGGGGCTCCAAATCCTCGAAGTCATGATCTCTGGGGTCCAGAAGGTGAAGATTCACTGGTCAAGGAATGCAGGTCCCCCACCTTCTGCCGAGAAGGGCTGAGATGGGTGGAAGGATGAACCTGGGCTCGGAGGGGGAGCCAAGAGCCCTCTAAATCTCCTTCTTAACGCTCACCTGGATCGACAGGGCAGCTCACTGGGGTGTGAGGGACCTCAGAGGACACTGAGCTCAAACTTCCAAGTGGGCATCTTGAAGGAGGGTTGCCCAGCCTCTTTTGGACGCATTAGCTCTGAGGAAGCAGTCCCTGCGTGGGACAGTTCAAATGACCACGGCCATCGCAGCTGCTAGGGCAGGCATCTGCCCGCAGCCTCACAGCCTTTGATCCAACTTTTGCTCCCAGCCTCCTGCAGCCCTGCCTGACTGGCCCATCAGCAGGTGCTCCTCTGTCCTAAGGCTTGAAACCCCAGTTAACATGCAGCTGAGTTTCCAGGAGGGCGACTGTGAGGCTGTGGGCCAGCATGCACCTCATCAGGAACTCCGTTACCAGGCAGGCTTCCACAGCCACAGACACACAGGATGGCAAGCATGGCTCATTTTGGGTAGAAAGGGCTGGGAAGCAAGTAGCCCTGAGGTGGTCATCCCATTTTCCAGAGAGGAACAGCAAGGGACTCCAGCAGCCCCGAGTGGTCATAAGAGGGACAGTGTCCTAAAGGCAGGTGGAAGGGCCCCACAGAGAAACTGCACACTCGTGACATCATTCAGACACAAACGGCCCACGCTCTTATCCCAGAGCCATCTCCAAGATGATGCCAAGAGGCAAGCCCCAGGGTGGTGGCCCAGGGACTGTGTGCTAATCCAGACCCTCCCTGTGTGGTAGGGACTCCAACCCATGAACCCACCCTGTGACCCAGACAAGGCAGAGCAGGTGTGGATGGAAGGCTCGAGTTCTCACCCCTCTCCCACCCGCCTGTGCCCCTGCAAGACTCTGAGCAATATCCCCGGCCCTCCTGGGTCCCCTCCACAGTCCACAGCTTCCTGATGGCCACTGATGGCTAGAGACTTATGTTAGGAGCAAAAATTATTTGGTTTGCTTTTCCTTTTTCTCACCCTAACCACTCCTGGTTCCCAAATCCTCTAGACCAAGGAGTGTTCAGTTGCTGCTTGATGGTGGTGACAATGTGGTAAATTATTTTGTACCTGCACTGTGCCTGGCGCATAGAGGGTACTTAATAGCTGTTCATGGATGGAAGGAAGGAAGGAAGGAAGGAGGGAGGGAAGGAGGGAAGGGAGGGTAGGAAGGAAAAGGGAAGGGAGAAGTGGGGAGGGGAGGGGGATGGGAATACCAAGGAGTGCTTTGAGATTCCCATCTCTTGCTTGGGGACCCCTGCAGTGGTCACATGTCCAATGGGGGGGGTGGACACCTGCTGAAGAGGGTGGAGGGTGGGGAAGAGGGGCTCTTCCTCCCAGCACCTACTGTAAGTTCCTGGGCTTCCCCTGGACCCTGCCTGGCTGCCAGGCTGTGGTGTGGCCGGACTGAGTGCTGTGAGCAGTCGGTGCTGTCAGTCACCTCTTCCCAAAAACTCTTAACCAGGTGCAATCTGCTGTTAGACCTTCGCAAGTCTTCTCATAGAAATAGACCCACACATGAGGAAAGAAAATTTGTTGGTTCAGTTGTCCTGGGGGTTGGTTCCTCAAACAGAATATCTGTAAATGGAGGTGGGGCCTGAGAGGCCCAGGCTGGGGGACCACAAAAGGAAGAAAATAAAACTGGTGTGGTTCCAAATGCAACTCAAAAGCCAGGACACATCTAAAGATGTGCTCCTCATTCAGGCCATCTCAAGCCCCCAGACAAAAGGGAAGGACAAGGGGCCCCAGGAGGCAGGGAAAGGCCGCTCCGGGGCTCCAGGCCCCCTCTGTGTCAGCCTGCACGAGTCCACTCCTGGAGCAGGACATCTGCTGAGAAGACCAGCCAAGGCCAGCTATGCTGGGCTTCAGTGTGAGGCCACACATCCCCACCAACGGAGCATAGAAAGAGGGCGACAGCATGAGCCAGACTGCTCAGAGAGACAGACAGGCAGACAGACAGAGGGAGGGTGACAGCTAGCAATTATGGCAGCAAAAGCATCGGTGCCCAGAGGTGGGACACAGGGACCCACCTGAAAGGGGCGCCTGGGAGCTCAAGGGCTTCAGCCACTCCAGGGGTCCCAAGCTGGGGAGGAATCTTGGAGATGCCCACACTTGCAAAGTCTGCCAGGTCAAATCCTGGTTGTCCAGATAAAACTATGGAAGGGGCTGGCTGGGGAATGGCTGGAATTAGGAACACCGGCCCCCATGGGGAGACGCAGGGCCAGCCAGGGCTTCCTGAGTGGTTTCATATGAGAAATGTGTCACCATCAGTATCATGTGAGTCTGCGAGACCATGAAGGTCATTAGGGCAAAGACATACAGACCCCACCTCCCAGAGTCCCGCTGCGGGAGGAGGTCACCAGCTAGGAAAGGCGAGGGCAGGAGGCAGGAAGTGCCCTCAGGCCCAGGCCGGGTGTGAGGGAGGGAGGGAGGGTAGAGAGGAAAGAGACACATTCCTACCCTGGAACTTCCATCTTGACCCCCAAAATCCCCCTCCAGGGCAATTTCACCACACAAGTCAACCCGGTGGGATGAGCCTCAGGTTCAGAGCTCAAGCATTTTGAGGACTCATTGCCCTGAGGGCAGCAACCATGCAGACCCCACCCTCACTCTCCTGCAGTGACTCTCATCTTCACAGTGGCCCATGAGTGAGTACTTCCACTGTCCCCACTTATCAACAAGAAAACTGAGGTGAAAGAGGCTAAGCAAAGGGTGCAGGATGGCGCACCTGTCGGGTGGTGAGCCAGGACTTGAACCCAGGGCTGTGTGATGCTCTTAACCACAACCTGTAGCTCAGGTAGAGACCCCGACTCTCCACAATGGGGAGGCTGAACCAGGCCCAGAGGGTGTCTAGGATGTGTTAGATTTGAGGTGATTTCAGGGGAAGCCAGAAGCTCAGCTGGCTCTGTCGGGCCTCTCCACCCGACTTGTCCCTCTTTCCTCGCCAGCCAGGCTTCCAGCCTCCTCCCAGCCCAGGACCCCGCTCCAATCAGGGAACCTGGGAAGGCAGGAAGGAAGGGCCTCCACACCACTTCTGCCTTCCCTGGGTGAAGAGGAGGGTGCGGGGGAAGGGCAGCGAGGGGCTGAGATGGAGACGGGGCGCCTGCCCACTCTGCCCATCCACACCTCCAGACCGCCTGAATGCCAGGGGAAGTTCACCGAGAGTTTACAAACCTCCTTTGTCACTGAGCACTGCGGGAGCCATCAATCACGCCCTAATTTACCAGTGTCACTTTCCAGAGGAAAGCCGCCCAGAGCCGCCAGTGGCGCTTCCTCTCTCACCCACTTGATGAGGATTTTGTCTAATTGGTCCAAGTTAAAGCACTCCCAGGAATGCAACGTGCAGTTACCGTGGCAGCGGCGGCGGGGAGCCCTGAGGAGGTGCCACGACCCTCCCGGGCATGAGCCTGGAGTCGTCTGTGGGGGACCTCTGGGAAACCCGGAGAACCCACCAAGGGGCCTACTGAAAGGGGTCTGAAGAGGAATATCAGGGATGGGGGGAGGGGCAGGCCAGGAAGGAAGGAGGCAGGGTAAAGAATGGATGGAGGATGACAGGGTCCCACCCTCACCCTCGCCCTCTAGGCGGGCCAGGCATCTTGCCTCACAGACATAGACTGGGTCCCACTCTCTGTTGCTCCCCTCCCCCAAGCCATGTGGGAACGGAGATCCGGAGGGCTGCACTAAGCCTTGCTCAGCAGTGACCCTTGGCTGGGAATGCCCGGAGCTTTGGCCATCTGGGGACCTATATCTACGCCCAACACCTTTCCTCCTGCACACATTTCCCCAACCACATCAGGCTTCGTACAAGCTGTTCCCTCTTTCATCTGTCTGGTAACCTGGTTGTCTTGCTGGTCCCAGCTCAAACACCGCTTACACTGAGATGCCCTTTCAAACTCCTGTGGGCAGGAGGGTGACTCTGTCTCCCTTCTACCTGGTCTTCCCCAGGGGTCCTGCCCTCATCTACTTATAGGAGGGTCTCTCTGACCATCTTGTGAGCTGCATGGGGACTGGGACCATATGTTTGTCATCTTTATACCTCTGCCCAGTGTGCTTGGCACGTGGTTGGGGCTCCGTCAATCTCTCCAGGTTGAATGAATGAATGACCATCACCCTCCTTAATGCATAGCCTCAGATAACCCACAGGCCAAGTCACCCTCCCAAAACCTGCCAAAGGACTCTCCTGGGCTGTCACCCTGCTCAGGGGAATCTTGTCCTGCTATGACATTTATCGGGGGCCAACCAGGGAATTCAGCACCAGATCACCTAAGGTCAGGAAGGGGCTTTAGAGATCAATGGTCCTCTTCATTTAAGTGAGGAGCAAACCTGGGCCCAGAGACCCTGGGTGATTGTCCAAGGTCACCCAGCAGCCAGTTACCAGGAGTAGGGACACACCTATCATTCCAGGGATTTGAGGACCCCTGAAGCTGAAGTAACTCCCAGCAAATCTCCAAGAGCTGATCTCTCTGGCCCCTTCAGAATTCTGGGTACATGCAGGGCACCCCCAAGTTCCTGTCTCTGCCTCCCCCATGCTCTCCAGAGGCTACCCCAACAAGGCCGGCGCATACCTTGCGCTTTTTGGCACGTCCCTCGGCCTGCAGGGTGCGGGTGCAGCGCTGCACACACTCGGAGAAGCTGAGGTTGCTGTGGTCGGCACTGTAGTCAAGGTCAGCCAGCCGCGCCAGGGACAGGATGTAGTTACAGGCGATCCTCAAGATGGCCAGTTTGGACAGCTTCTGCCCATACGAGTAGCACGGCACCTGAGGGGAGAAGGCGTCAGGAAGGGCTGCAGGGTCGCAGCACCCAGCCTGGCAGGCATGGGAGGTGGCCTGTCTACGGTGTATCTGGGCCCTCTACCCTGATCTTATGATCTGCTCTACGCACCTGCTATTTACACACACACACACACACACACACACACACCCTCAGCTCATCTGCTCTGAGATACACCCACATTCCCATTTTGCAGGGGAAGAAACAGGTTCAGCTCATGCCTGCCTGCCAGTCAGTCTGAATAGAAGCTCAGTGAATTTCCATGACCACCACAGAGCTCTGCCCTCCACCCTCCTGAGCAGGAATCTCTCTGAGAGAACAGGCATTTTGTTTTTTCAGCTCTGATGTTCCATTCATTCATTCAGTAACACTGGTTTTGCTGGGCACTTGGGTAGTGCGACAATGAATGACTTGATTCCTGCTTCAGAGAACTTTCGCTTGAGTGAGATTATAATGTCATGCTTGGGACTCTGGGGACATGCAGGAAGACACAGTGCTCAGCTGGAAAGACACAAACGTGGCTGGTTTTCATTTTTTAAAAATCTTTTTCTCTGTTCCCTCAGGACTTGGGGTGCTGCTGGGCAGGCAACAGTGGCATAATACATACTCATGGCACAGAACAAACTTGACACGTTTGTCAATGATTCATCGCCAACTAGCTCCTCACTAATTGCACAGGGATTTTTATGGGGTGAAAGATGGAGCCTCTGATTTTTTTAATATCCTGCTCCATCAATATTCACGCTGCATGAGCAAAAAGCTCCAAAGACTGCAGCATACTTAAACAGAGTTCTGTCTTGAAACCTGGAAATAGCTTCACGAAATCAACCTGATAGATACTAACAGACCCTATGTTCCTATAATGCACTGTTAACCTAAAGGGCTAAAAACCCAGCAACCGTGGCTCCGGGTTTTCTCCTCGCTGTGGCTCTTCGGGATCTACATGTGGCATCCATATCACTGACGAACCCTATCCTACAGCAGGTGGGACGGCACGATGCATCCACACAAGTATTTAATGAGCCCCCGAAATATGCCAAGCACTCTTCCAGGCCAGTGATTCTCACCCAGGCATGGTTTTGTCCCTCAGGGGACAGTCGGCAATCTCTGGAGACATTCCTGCTTTCCACCTCGGGGGAGTGGGAGCATTGCGGGGACGGAGGTGGGGAACGTGGCTAAACAGCCTACAGCGCACAGTATCCCACAATGCCCCCACAACAGAGAATTACCTGCCCTCAATGTCAATAGTGCCAAGGACGGAAATCCCTATTCCAGAGGCTGGAGGAAAAGCATGAACAAGACAGTCACCCGAGACTGGGGACCCTAACACATCACCCACTTTGATCTCACTTTAAACCTCACTGCGTCCAAGAGTTTTCCCTGACCTCCCCACCTCTACCCTACACCAGGAAGGACAGCTTGCCCTTCATAGGGCCTTAATAGCACCCCGTCTGGCCATAACTGCCCACACTCTGGCACTTTAGTGGTCAGTCTCCCTATGAACTGTGGGTGGAAGGCCCGTGTCTGCACAGCCTAGCACAGGTCCTGCCCATAACAGGCCCTCAAAAGGGTTTGTTGATTGAGGCAATGAGTGAACAAATGAATGATCTCCCTCTGGATCTTCACTCCAGAATATTTTGAACTGGGCTCAAACACTTTTCCTCTCTCTGATGATGAAGATGTAGCTATTTGGCATAAAGCTAAGCACACGTACCTTTTTGTTAGTTGGGTTCAACTCCTGGCTCTAGCTTTGTCTAGCTGTAAGACTCTGGGCAAGGGACAGAATCTTTCTGAGCCTCATTTGCTCGTCATATCAGGAACAGGACTGACCTCACAAGGTGGTAAGGATTAAATGAGATGATGCATGCATTGCATAAAGTAAGGCCTGACAGAGGTCTGTGAACGTATTATGGTTGGTTTTACAGAAGGTCCCCAAAGTCAGGCTCCAGAGCAGGTGAAGAGCCAGGACACGTGCCTGTACCACCCTCCACCCTCTGGGGGTGCTGAGACTCGGAAACCCAGAGAGGGAGAGGAAGGCAACAGAGAAAGCTAACTCCCATGCTTTCCTCCCCTCACCCCATCTCCCACTCCCAGCCCTGGCCGCAGCTCCAAACCCATCCCAGAAATGCTGGCAGAACAATGCACTTTGCTCGTTCCCAGCCCGAGTCCAGGGAATCCTGCTTTATCAGCCTGAACAAATAAACAAGGTCTGGCAGTCCTGGGGCAGGGAATGGGGTCTCAGGGGCCGGCCAGCACTGCTGCCTCCTCTTCACCCCAGGGAGGGTGTAGCAGTCGGGGGGGCTCTGGGGACTGGGTGTAGCTCTAGGACACAGCCCTCAGCACTACTTTCACACATAGGCCATGCTAGGAGTTTCTCTTAAAGGCCCAGCGCTTTGAGCCCTTGGCCTGTAACAGCTGGGCTTCCAGGAGGGAGCAGGGATTTTGGAAGGGATCTGTACACCGTGATCCAGGGTCACTGTGGGACCACAAAGCAATGGCTGAGGCCAAGGCCAGCCTAGGGGCTCCCATGCCAGGTTCTGGGCCAGTTCTCTCCTAGATACGTTTCTTGCCTATTGTTTCTGTCAAGTTCCAGGTCTAACAAGAAGAAACCCGTGCATTGAGCTCTTGTATATCTGACACTGCAGTAGCTATTTACAGGTAGTATTAGCCCACTCAAAACCTTCCCCACCATCTGTACACACAAACACAGAGAGGTGACATATTGGACCCCAGATCACTCATCTGACTGACACCAGGCACATGGCCAGTAGGCTCTCTCAGCTCCCACCACACCAGAGGTAGCCATATCCCGGACACCAAAGGCCTCTTTCAGGTTGTTCACCTCTCCTCCTCCCCAACCCCATGGGCAGCTCCTCACCACCTGGCCAATTCCAGATCCTCCTGGCACCTATGCCCCAGGATGCGGCCCCTCAGCTCCCAACAGCCCAGCTCAGAGGCACCCCAGCCTGGGCTGTCACCACAAAGTGAGAATCTACTACCCATTCTGGCTCTGGAATGTCAAGATATGGTAGAAAGAGCTGCTCTGAATTCCAGGCACTTACAAGCAGTGTGACTTTGGGAAGTGCCCTCACTCCTTGGAGCCCCCATTTCCTCATCTGGAAAGTTGGGGTAGCAATGCCTGGGCAGCTCACAGGGCTTCGAGGACTACATCGAGTATCTCCCGCCAGAGTCTGAGCAGCATAGATTCCCCGTGACTGCTGGGCCCAGGCCACCTTGTGGTTACTATGATCTATTAAGACCAGGCAGAGGGTGAGCATTTCAAATACAATGTCCGTATTCATCTTTTAAGCAGCCCAGTGGGGTAGAAATGATCACTTCCACTTTACAGCAAAGCATGTGTCTCTCAGGCATGTAGGAATTTCCTGGATCTCTCAGCTGGTGAGTGATGAGCTGGGTTTTGAACTGGTGGCTTAGCTGGGCTCTTTCCAGTTAGCCAGCAGGAACTGTCTGGGGATCTGAATAAGTGTCAATAGCTTAAGGTGGGGAGGTAGGCAGCCCACCCTCCTGAGCTGGGGATGGAGAGTCCTGGGCTGATGATGCCATGAGATCCCTCTTAGAGCATCCACAGCAAGGCCCAGAGCCCACCCACCACCATTGCCTACAGAGGCCCCCACAGCAGTTGTCTGCTCACCCTGGTCAGGGGACACAGGCCAAAGGAGGAGGCAGAGTTATCCGGCTCCCACTCCCGACAGACTGCCCAACTTCCAGGAAAGTCAAAGGATCTGCCTTGCGCTCATCCCAAAAGGATTTTTCAACTTTGAAGGAATAGACTTTGGAATTTTCACAAGGTCCCATATGCCCCCGAAACATTCCACCCAACCCACCCTAAGCTGGACCCAGTTCCAGCAAGCAAAAAAAACACGAAGAGCACTGGCCTGGGAGCCCGAGGGCCTGGCTCCACCCCTGGCCATCCACGTGACCTTAGACAGGTCCATAAGCTTACATGACCTCAGTTTCCTCACTAGTGAAATGGGCATTAGAACATCTGCTACCTCAGAATGAGATCACAGGTGCAAATGTGGGAAAGCTTCCCAAAGAAACAATGCTGAGAACCTACCAGAGAATGCAGAAAAGGTCTTAAAGCCCTCCACACTCTTGCTTCTGTGCCGACTCCGGCCCACCCTTCAGACCCAGCCCAAGACGCCCTCCCAGAAGCCCATAGGGCTCCAGCAGCACTACGCCCACTACACACAGACGAGCATCAGATTCCACTGAAATGATCATCTGGTTGTCTCGTATCAGTGAGCGCTGGATTTCCGATGTGAAGCCACTCTACCCAGAGCTGTTCAGTGTCCTTCCCAAAGTCTACCTAAACAGGCCCTTTAAAATCCCAACCTCGCCGGGCGCAGTGGCTCACGCCTGTAATCCCAGCACCTTGGGAGGCCGAGGCAGGTGGATCACGAGATCAGGAGTTTGAGACCAGCCTGGCCAACATAGTGAAACCCTGTCTCTACTAAAAATACAAAAAATTAGCCCGGCGTGGTCGCAGGTGCCTGTAATCCCAGCTACTCGGGAGGCCGAGACAGGAGAATCATGTAAACCTGGAAGGTGGAGGTTGCAGTGAGCTGAGATCATGCCACTACACTCTAGCCTGGGCGAGAGTGTGAGACTCTGACTCAAAAAAAAAAACAAAAACAAAAAACCCTCAACCTCCTGCACAGCCAGCAGGCTGGACCCTGAGAACCTAGGTCTGGGTGGTTAAGAGCTACAGCTCCAGGGCCAGACAGGCTTGAGTACAGATCCTGTGGCCTTGAGCCATCTGCTTCACCTCTCCATAAGCGTCCTCATCTGTAACATGGGAAGACAGCACTTCGGATCTCCCACAGCAGGCTCAGGTCAGGCCTCACTCAGTGCAGGAGCAGCCGCCCTGGTGACTGTGGACACGATGGAACACGAGGAAGACCTTTGTCATCCTTACCTATCTGCATGGAGCCCTAGTGCAAGCAGGCCTGTCCCTCATTGGCTGAGGGGATGGTGCGCAGGCTTCTCTGCACCCCCCACGTCCCCCTTGCACTCTGTGGAGTTTAAGAGTGAGGAATGTGCTGGAGCACCATTCCCACACCCCCTCCAGGGCCACCCTGAGTTCGCTCAATGAGGACCCCCCGGGAGGCTCCAGGGGCAGCAGGGGAGGTGGCCTGGGCCCCAACTGCTTGGCATATCGTCAGTGGAGAGGACCACGGCAGAACCTGGGGCCCCACACTGCCTTCCATTGCAGCCATCCTCCATCAGTGCTGAGGGGCTTTGAGGGGAGAGAGGAAATCCACATGCACACCAGATGCCCCAAGGGTGGGTACAGCTTGTGAGACAGAAGGTCCTGCCACTCTGGCCCCTTCCCTCACCACCCCACAAGGCCAGCCTTTCCCTTTGACCCCTCCCACCTGGCAGGGAGCAGCCCCACTCCCGGGCCAGGCCAGCTGTGCACACATGGCCTTCACATGAGGCAGCAGAGAGGGCTCTGGTGCAGCTGCACTGGTGGCATGTGCTTCGGCCAGACCATCTGCCCCGCACCATCCAGCCCAGACTGGAGGGCCTCTCTCGCACCTGCACCTCCCACCTGCGGCCATGCAGCCACCCTCCCTGCTCCCTTCCTGGTTGAGAGGACAGTGGATTATGACACAGTGGGAGCCTGTCTGGCTTCCTCATGCTGAGGATGGATGGCGCCAGGACATCAGACAGGCTGAGGAGCAGAGCCATTAGGAGTCGAGGCCCTGAGAGTCCAACCCAAGCTCCACAGCAGCAGCAGTGGCACATAGCTCCGCACTGCTGCGAGGCACCGCCACCCTGGAGTCTGGCCAAGGTAGGGTGTAGCACAAAACCCACAAGGCCACGTGCAATGGCAAAAGACTGGGACAACTTACATAAGCTCTCTGAACCTCAGTGTCACCATCCATGAAACAGGGCAGGGGGTGTGATCATGACAATATCTATTTCATTAAATGAACTAATATACATAACAGGCTTAGAACCGTGCCTGGCACAAAGTAAGCATGTGATAAATGCTAGTTTCTCTGATAGTTAGTAAAACGATTAAAGAATTCTTATTGCGGCCGGGCGCGGTGGCTCAAGCCTGTAATCCCAGCACTTTGGGAGGCCGAGGCAGGTGGATCACGAGGTCAAGAGATCGAGACCAACCTGGTCAACATGGTGAAACCCCGTCTCTACTAAAAATACAAAAAATTAGCTGGGCATGGTGGCGCGTGCCTGTAATCCCAGCTACTCAGGAGGCTGAGGCAGGAGAATTGCCTGAACCTAGGAGGCGGAGGTTGCGGTGAGCCGAGATCGTGCCATTGCACTCCAGCCTGGGTAACAAGAGTGAAACTCTGTCTCAAAAAAAAAAAAAAAAAAAAAAAAAAAAAAAATATAAAAAAAAAAAAAAAAAAAAAAAAAAAAAAAAAGAATTCTTATTGCTTCATCTGTCGAGAGTTTTGCCCAGCCCTGAGGACCTTGGAGCTGCATAAGAAATGGTCACTGCTCTGGCTATGCGTGGTGGCTCATGCCTGTAATTCTACCATTTTGGGAGGCCAAGGCAGCTGGATCACCTGAGCTTAGGAGTTAGAGACCAGCCTGGGCAACATGCTGAAATCCCATCCCTACTAAAATACAAAAAATTAGCCAGGTGTGGTGGTGTGTGCACCTGTAATCCCAGCTACTCAGGAGGTTGAAGTGGGAGAATCGCTTGAACCCAGGAGGTGGAGGTTGCAGTGAGCCGAGATCGCACCACTGCACTCCAGCCTGGGTGACAGAGAGAGACTCTGTCTCGAAGGAAGGAAGGAAGGGAGGGAGAGAGGGAGGGAGGGAAGGAAGGAGGGAGGAAGGGAAGGAAGGAAGAAAGAGAGAAAGAGAGAGAAGGAAGGAAGGCAGGAGGGAAGGAAGGAGAGAGAAAGAAAGGAAAGAAAGGAAAGGAAGAAAGAAAAGAAGAAAAAGAAAGAAAGAAAGAAAGAAAGCAGGCAGGAAGGGAAGGAAGGAAGGAAGGAAGGAAGGAAGGAAGGAAGGAAAGAAATGTTCACTGCTCTTATAGGTCTCCTTCTTTCCTCATTTGCTCTTCTCAACACTGTGGATGAGATCAGCGATATTACCATTCTACAGCTTCAGCAACTGAGGCGCAGAGAAGGCCAGTGACTTGTCCACGGCCACACAGAAGGCATGCAGAGGAGACACAACTCAATGCCAGGCCTCCAGGTTCCCAGGTCAGTGCATCTTTCATGGTTCCAGGAAGCTCTCAGAAGAATGAAGCCCCAGGCCAGAGACACGATCCCAGAACCCAACTCAGTGCCACACTGGCCAAGGCCCCATTTCAGGCAGAGCTGATCTCCCGCCTTTTGCCACTTTCCAAGGGCCCATTTCAAACAGTCAGGCCCGAGGCTAGCTCCAGAGCTACAGCTCATCTGGATTGGGGGCGGGGGTGGGGAGTACGTTTTATGGAGAAGACTGAGGCCCAGAGGAGGAAGGGGCTCCTCCAGAACACAGGACTTCCTCCATTGAATGGGTGCCATGGTGGTGAGGGGAGCATGGTGAGTGTGGCCTTGGCCCCTGGCTATATGACCAGAAATGTCCTGGCCGTATTTCTTTCCTTCCCAGCTAACAGAGAGGTGCCCACTATGGCCTGGCAGCCTTTCTAGGGAAGGGACAGAATGGCTGGGCAAGGAGGAAACCAACAGGAACAGGCGCTTCTGTGACCGTGCATTTGTGTGTGCTTTTGAGCACGTGCAAGGAGTGTGTGTGTGTGTACCTGCATGAGTGTTTGCATTGCATACATACTCTCTCCCTGAGAGGTTATGGGTTTGTCTTCTGCTTAGACACGCTGAACTTGCCCTTTTTATAGAGAACTTCCCGAGGGAATGGGGGTAACTAAAAGGAGACCAGGATGAACAATCTCATTTCAACGGGTTGTCCAAGTGTACACCCTGCCTTGATTGTTAACAAACATCCTGCTGGGGGTTGGGGGGAGCACATGATGCTGATACAGATGGCACTGAGGGAAGCATTTGGCCAGAGGGCATTCCAGAAACTGCTGTCATCTTTCCTAACCCACTAGGTGATCTGGGACAAGTCTCCTTCCATCCCTGGGGCTCAGGGTTCCATACTATAAAATGAGTTAATCCAATTTTGACAGGCATGTTGTTTAGATCAAATGAGATGGAATTGATTGTTGAATGAAGTAAAAGCCAGTGGGCACATGAGATGTAACAGAACACTCAGGTGAGTATTCTCTCAGCACGCAGAGAGGCAGCAGAGGGGCAGAAGGGCCCAGAACCAGCAGTCAAAGGCCCTAGGTGCCAGCCCCGACCTGTTATTCACCAACTGTGAGGATCTGGGTACATGCATCCCCAGTCTAGGAGCTGCTTCCCTAGTGGCAAGGTGGGCAAGTGGACAGGCATCTCTGCCCTTCTGTTACCCTTCTGTCCTGGAGAGTGCGTTGCAGGATCCCCCAAGCACTGCTGCCCCTACCCAGCAATGCAGGCACAGAGCTGCTGGCTCAGGGTAGGACTGACTGCTCCACTGGGCCCACTGCCCAGGGTTCCAGCTGGTATGGCTGAGGGCAGAGGCCCAGCCTGATCTGTGACAGCCACCCGACCCCCGCCCCCACCCCACCTCACTCACCACTTTCCCCAAGCCCAAGTAAAACACTTTTGCTCAAATGTCATAGGGCCTCTTTCCCCCAGGGATTCAATATCCTTTCCATCGGTAGACACAGGCACTACTGCCCCACCCCACCCCAACCAACAGGAGGAAGAGGAGAGTGATCCAAAAACAAGATCATGGTTTCTGAAATGTTTTGTTGCTGGCTAAAACCCAGAGAAGTTGAGCAAAATTCCTGGAGTCACACAGCAAGTAAGCTGTAGAGCATGCAAAAAATAAAACAAAACAAAACAAAACAAAAAAATACACACATTGCGAATTAGCCACATCTACCCTAACCCTTCTCTGAGCCCTGTGTCGGGTGGGGGAGAACTCACCACCTCCTTCCTAGAGCCCCTTCTCACTAAGAAAATAAGAAGCCTAGAAGCCCAAGCCAGTGCCAATCTTGTCTAAAGTGGAATTGTAAACGGTCCCGCCCCACCACGGGTAATTCTCGGGTTAAGCATTCTTCCTCTACCTGCTCAGGGGCACTGTCTGGTGAGGGCAGCCCTCACCAGCCCGAAACTAAAAAGTCCCCAACTCACCCCAGAACTAGGCTCTGAAGATGCTCCAGAGAAAATTCCCCAACTAGGCGCTCCCCTCAGCACGGTTGCTTGCTTCACCACAGGATGAAAGGAAGGGATCTCAGGGAAAGACTCCCACCAGCTAATTCCTAAGGCCACCCCTGAGGAGAGGGCACAGGCTTGTAGCGCGGGTTCTTGAGGATGCCGGGGCAAGGGGTGCATAGCCCGTTAGCAACCTGAATGGGGCATCACTGCTGAGAGCTGGGGGCTGAAAAGGGGCTGACAAGCTCCCCCGGACTGCCCCGCCGCAGCGTTCCTGGCCTCACCACCACCAACAGGGAGCCAAGACCCCGACCATGCCAAATGCCTGGAGAAGGGTCGCCCCCTTTTTCCCGGGACCAAGACAGATTCCCATATTTCCCCTCTCCACTCCGCACCGCACCCAGGGGACTCCGGCAGGCAAATACTCGCTGCCATAAAAGTGAACTATGAAGGCTGAAGTCAGACGCGCCGACAGCGTTACCCCCGAGGCGGGGGTTGAGGGCGGGCGTTGGGGGTGAGGTGCTCGGGCCAGAGACTTCCAGCATTTATCTCCACTTTGAAAACTATGATCCATACCAACGTTGTGGCAAAGTCACCGCCCCAGGCTGCCCACATCTGTCTGGGCCCCCCAGGGTCGGACTGGGCTGGGCAGCTTGCCCCTTAAACACATCTCTATCCCGGCCCGGCCACTCGCCCACCCATTCCGGCAGTGGTCCCCGGGCGCAGTGAGGGCTTGCGGCGGGGAGCTGGTACCTGCTTCCTGAGCGCCTCGAAAGCTGCGCTGATGGTGTGCACCCGCGTCCGCTCCCTGGCGTTTGCCAGGAGCCTCCGGGTCTGCTGCAGGGCTTTGATCTCCGAGGAGGCGGCAGTCGCTTCGCCCGGTCGTTTCCTAGGCGACGCGGAGGAATCCGGGTGGTTATTGTAAATTACGTGTGAAATTGACGAGTAGGAACTTTCCCCGGGGCGCTTGGGGTGCGCGGGGCGCACTGTGGACTCCGGGGGCGCGGGCGGCGCTGGGGGCGCGGACGGCGTGGGGCGCGCGGGTGGTGCGCACAGCAAGATGCGGGGACGCAGACCCGGCTCTCGGAAAGGCTGTGGCTCTGGGCCCCCAGGTGCCAGGCTCTGGGGCACAGGAGGCGGCGGCGGCGGCGTCGTGGGGAGTCCTGGCCCCACTGCGCCCAGAGCGAAGCTGCGTTTCCGCGCGTCAGAGACCTCAGGCGCCCGGGAGCCCCCGCGCTCCCCGGCTGTGTCCGCGCCCCCTCTTGGAGGAACGGCCGGCGCCACTGGGGCTGGCACCGGCACCGGGACCGGGACCGGCTGCAGCCTGTGGGTCCTGTCCCGCAGCCCGTTGGTGGCGACGGCGCGGGGCTCGGGCGCTTCCAAGTCCAATCGGAAAGTTTTATAGCCGTTCGCGCGCCGCGCCGGCTCCTTGCCTTTCCGCTTGAGCTTCTTGAGGCCGTTCAGCTCCTTCACGCACACGGTCTTCCACGGCCCGTCCTCGAGGACCGGGATATGCTTCATGGCGCGGGCGGCGCGTAAGGCAGGGGCGGGGGACTGCCCGGGCCGCCGCCGCGCTCAGCGCCGAGGAGTCTCTGGCTCTCCCCCTTCGCCCGCCTCCCCCTCCCGCTCTCCCTTTCTCCCCCTCGCCCGGGGCAGCTGCGCCGCCGGCTCCGCGAAGCCGCCGGGCTGTCCGTTCCCGGAGCGCTCAGAGTGTCATCTGAAGTCGCTGCCGCCTTGCCAGCATTTCTGGAGAACGCCCGCTGCGCTCCATCTGTGTTTGTTTAGCCTCAGTTTACACAGAAGCCCAGTTCGCGAGATCAGTCAGCGCCGCCGCCCGGAGAGGAGGCAGCTCCCGCCGCCACCGCCTCCCCAGCCCCGGCCGCCCGAGCCGCGAGCGCCTTTAAAGAAACAGGAAGCATTTTTCAAAACAGCTGGGCCGCCGGCCGCCTCCTTTGTCCGCGTGCTCCCTGCCTCCCCCCACCCCCATCCCCTCGGCCCAGAACCTGCCTCCTCCGGCTCTCCCTCCCCGCCCCTACTCAAGTCTGGGGCACTTCTGGGTTCCCAGAGGACCATCAGCTCCTGCACAGCCGCCCCGAGCACGTGATTTAGGGGCCCCTTGGCCTTTCCCCAAATCACAGCGGGGCCTTCTCTCCCCGGCCTCGTCGGCCTTTCGGTGACACAGCTCCAACCTGGCCCACCCGGTACCTCCCCGCCGGTCCCTCTGCCTCAATTCGCCAAGCAACAGAAAACTGGGGGAGCGGGGACTTCTGCGGGGTCCGATGGGGAAGGGGGAACTCCAGAGTTGCCCGACCCTCACCCGCGCGGCAGCCCAGTCCACTCTCACTTGCTGGAGCGGGAAAGCAAAAGGAGCAGAGGACTTAAGACAGGGAAACTGAATCTCTGAAAGCTCCAAAGTCACACAGCAAGTCACAGAGGCAGAGGAGGGTGGAAGCTTCGGATTTAGGCAGACTTAACGTCTGTGAGCCTCTGCAGTCACCTCACACCAGGCGCCCTGCTAAGCCCGGATTTACCCACCTATGAAATTAGAAATTCGGAAAACATCAACGTCTAAGTCACAGCATTGCTCTGAGGAAGGTAAAGCACCAGACACATAGGAAGGGGTCATCAAATGGAAGCTGTGGTTGTTATTATTATTTATCGAGGCAAAATAGCTCCTTGAGGCAGACTTCCTGGGCTCAAACCGCAGCTCTGCCACTCACTGTGTGACATTGGGAAGGTCACTTAACCTCTCTGTGCCTCCCTTTCCTCACCTGTAAAATGAGGGTCATAATCATACCTTCCACCCCGCTAGGCAGCTGTGAAGAGCATGTATGCACAGGGTACTCAGAGCAGTGCCTGGCACCAGGCGACAGCTTGGCAGATGCCCACGTTTATTGGCAAGGGGCAGAGATCTACCCCCCAGACCCTCAGTCCTCTGTGCCACTCCACTGGAGATTCTGGAAAGAAGGGATCCAACTGGTAGGCCCTTCACACGTCCTCACTAGAGGACCACCTCCTAGCTGCTTCCTTCCGAGGCTCAGAACAGGGCTTCACTCTTTGCTGGTCCTTTTTCTGTGGCTGTTGCTTCTTAAGGAAGCTGGGCACTAAAAGCCAGCAAGGTGGTTTGGGAGAAGATGGACCCTTGACCCTGGCCTTGAACTCTGATGAAAACACAAGGGCTCACACTGAAGTGCCTCTCTCCTCCAAGAGAGAATGTCCAGGGGTGGAGGAGGCAGATGGCAGGGTGGCCTGAAGCATGCGAGGTGCTGGGAGGTGGGATGGGGGTCTGGGCAAAGCTTCAGGGGCTGGAACATGGAGCTGGGCCGGGAGCCCTGGTTGGGCCTTGGCTTTTCAACTCTGGAGCCCCATGGCTATGAGCAAGACATTTCCTTCCACCGGGGCTCTTCTTTTCTGTCTTTGAGGATATTTCTGTCCAGCCAACTTCTCAGGGTAGCTGAGAAAGGACAAAGAGATCATGAATGTCAAAGGACTTCGATATAAGGATTCAAACATAGACACACACACACAGACACACACTAAGGCACATGGTTTTCTGACTATATTAAATGCAAAATCTCATTTTCCCACCAAGGTGGATGCCAGCATCATAAAGCATGTGTTCCCAGAGACCCCCTTCCCAGGACACCCGCGTTTTCCTGTACCTTATCTCTGTCCTGGAGACCAAGGGTGTGCCCCCAGAGAGAAGCCCTCATTCTCCTGTCATTTCCCTGCTCAACCTCGAACCCTAAAGTCCTGGCCTTTCCTCCCAGGTCTCCCCTTTGCAAAGCACACTCTTCCTCACCCTTTGATGACCGGCTCCGGCCCTGCTCCTCCTGTGAAACTTCCCTGCTTACCACAGCCTCCAGCTGCTCTTGCTGGCCTCTGCACATGCTTGCTCATTAAGTCCTGCTGCAACTTAACCTGCGCTGCAGCCCTTTTGGAACTCCTGGGCTTGTGCATTCCTCAAAGGCGCACTCTTGTCTTCCTCCCTGTCTCTAAAGCCTGGTGCTCAGGAAGCCTCTGATAAGGACTAACAACGCTTGTGCCCTTTACAGCCCTGTCTGCAGAGTCAATCCTCTTGTGCATCCAGCTAGTCAGTGGCAGAGACGGAGGAAAAACGATGCCCCTTCTACAGAGCTGCTCAGGCACTCTCTGAGCTTCAGTATCTTCCTCTGTAAAATGAGGTGAATGACATCGTGCCTCACAGGGCTGTGAAGACTCACAGGCTGCATGTGCAGCATTTGGCATGATGCCTAGAGTCTAGGGAATGGTGACCTGGGGCATCCTGGGTTAGCCAGCTGCCCAGGCCCCCTTGCATCCCAGACTTGGGTGTAGTTGAAGACTGGGGTGCCCATGGCCAGTTAGGGGATGTGAGAATTCTCTAGCAGGATTGAATTTTGTCCATAAAGAGGCCAAGCTGTGTCTGGGAAAATCACATCTTGGTTGAATACCAAGGGATCCACTCGTACTGACCCTGAGCCCTGTGCCAATTTCCCCCAAATAGAGGAGAAGATCACTGAGATCCCATGGGGCAGAAGGAGGGGAAGGAATTGGATAGGAATGACCAGCCACGCAGGGTGGAGGTAGAGCCGGGCTGCAAGCCAGACTACAGGCCAGACAGGCTCCTTCCCCTCACCATGCTGCCTCTCCGCTGGCCAAATGCCAGGGCCCCGGATTTGGAAAAAGGCAAGTCCAGAGGGACCTTCACCTTGCCATGTACCAGCTGTGTGACCTTAGGCAGTTCCCTGACCTCTCTGAGCCTCTGTTTACTATCTGGGCATCATCTTATGAGTCTTGATATGAAATGGTATGTGCCGGAACAGGTAGCAAATTGTAAAGAGGCCAATTGACATGGAGTCCCCGCCATTGCCATTGTCAGTCTGCCAGGTTACAGACCTTCCAGGTCCAGGCTGGCTGTCCACACCTCACCAGCGGAAGGGTCAAACCTGTCTCCCTTCCAAGGGCCCTCACTTCTGCCTTCCTCAGCCTTGCTGAGAATTGGGGCAGCGACCAGCTGGGCAGCGCCCCCTGGTGGTATCATACTCAGGGCTGCACAGAACACTGCGGTCTCTCCATGAGGCACTTCTTGCCCATTGTGGTGGCCCTGTAATGACAGAAATGTGGATTTCACGAATTCATAGACTTTCCAGGATAAAAAGGCTCCCAAGGCTCCAGGTGGCTGCCCCAGCCTTCGGATGGGACAATGCAGACAACACTCTATGCCCTTCATTAAAAACATCTCCCACTGAATTAACCGTTTGAGGTGACCCTGGGAGGGAGTGATGTTGTCACTGGAAGATTCCATACCCCCTTGGGTGGCTGGCCCAGGGAAAAGGAATAAAGATAAAAAGGGAAGGAAAGGCAAGAGCTTAGGGGTCAGGCTACTGGGAGCAGTTGCTAGAAAGCCATGCAATCATAATTCTTTAATACAGCCATGGAAGGAGCGCATACAAACTCTATCTCACTAATCCTTATTATCATCCAGGGAAGTAAACCCACTCTACAGATAAGAAGACTGAGGCTCCTAGTAGGGGAAGGGGAAACCTTGCCAACAGAAAGAACAGTAGTAGGATTTGAACCCAAGCCAACTGACTCCAAAACCCACGCTCTGAACCACTGTGTCTGCTGCCACCTGAGAGCTCGGTGACTAGCATCTGGGAGGTGATAACTGGCCCACCTATGGGGCTGGTCTGTGTCAGCCAGTTCTCCTTGCTGTGCTGCCAGCCTGGTGGGCTTCTTGCTGTCCACCTCTCAGCTGGAGCCACTGGCCTCCCTTGGTCCAGCACAATACCCTTCTAGCTCCTTCTAGTCAGGGTGAGATGGCAAGGGCATCCAGAGCCCAGATCTTGGTATCCAGGCACTGGGGCCCTCCCTCATTGCCAGTGAAAGCTGCCCAGCAATTCCTTGGTGCACACACCACGAGAGTGAGGACAGGACAGCTCTGCAGAGTGGCAGCCAGTGATTAGCATCTTCTTGGCTGGATGGGATGGAACCTCGGATGCTTGCTACATGAAGCCTCTGCATTCCTGAATCTGGAGTCCCTATTTATGGCTGTTCAGATTGTTCCAAAGTAGGTGTGGCACCCGTTAGAGAAAGAGAGGAAGAGTAGAAGTTAGGCTGCCAGGAGGAAACTCTCCTGGTGGAAACAGACACAGTATGAATGGTGCCCCCTGGAGTGGTACTCACAGCAGCAGCAGAAAGGGCCACACAGGTGAGTAAGAAGAACCCAGAGCTCCTCCTCACCTCCTATTCACAGTGCTAGCATTGCCACCATTAACCAGCGGGACATGGGATCCAGAGGACAGTGAAGAGACATCCAGGCAGGAAACTCTTCCAGACTTTTCTGCAATCTTCTTTCTACCTTTCTCTATTCAAGTGGCCATCCCAATTATAGAAAACTGAGTCTTTGGGACTGGGCAGATGCCAGATAAGGGCACTTCCTCCCCGAGACCTGCTGTGTGCACCATCTCAGCACATGCTCTGTGCACCTTCTTAGCACATGTGCAGAGGGCAGTGCCCGAGGGGCGGGGCTCTGTCCTGACTCTTGGTCAGGGTGGAAGGGGAGAGTGGGGAGGGGAAAGGCCAGGAGGGTGGTCAACAAACAACAGGAGAAGCCTGGCATGAAAACTCTCCACACCATTGGCCAGGCATTCTGCTAAAACAGGACATGTCATGTCATTTCTCTGCTTAAAACCTCCCCTTGAATTTTTTTTCTTGGATGTGTTGGGGGCTGCTATGGATGCCTCCCTCCCTGCCTGCATGGAGAGGTGGCATCTGTCCCTCCATTGCTGTGAACCTGGGCTAGCTGTGGGTGCTCTGGCTAATGCAGCAGTGGTGCTGTGCTTTACCAAGATGGGCTATTTCAGCTTCCTGCCAGTTGGAAGCCCTTAGTTGCTAAGTGAGAAGTCCAGGTGGGTTCTGCTGGAGAGAGAGGCCACACAGAAAGCAACACAGTGCCAGAAATAT